CATGAAAGGGAAGTGTGTTCATTCAGAATTATCTGGAGCAGGGACTCTTCCTAACTTTAATTCATAGACTGATCACCCATTTGTGGTTATGAACAAAAGCTACCTCCTCCAGCTTAGGGCTGAGCAATCACCTGTCACTCATCCTCACACCTTGTGCACCCTCGAGTCTCTGCATTCACCACTGTTCACTGGAAAGAGAGGCCTCTCGGAGTTAGTCTGAGAGTAGCATTTGTCTATAGATATAAATATTTTGAAGACAGTCTGATGCTATGTCAATTTAGCAAAACAACTGCACACACACACACACACACACACACACACACACACACAAGGACCTATGATCTCCCCCAACATGGATTTTTTTTTTTGACCAGCTTAACATTACCAGTTATTGATTCCCTGTGGTGTGGACCTTAAATCCAATCGAAGAACAATAGTTCTGTCACAACTGTAATGCCACTATTACACAAATAAGAGCACTTTGCCTGGTAGTTTGGTCCCATAGACTGTAGGGTTACCAGCTTTGGGTAAGACTGTTGATTATTTTTCTTCTCTAGTAGCCTGAATAGCATCTTCTGAGACTATCAAAGCTGGCTAGCAGGAAGAAAGCCTCCAGCCTCAGTCCCAACATGATCTCTCTGTATCTTGCAACCAAGGTGAGTGGTATCTTGAGCAATATAATTTTATTATCTAGTTCTGGTGGCCCATCAAGAGTAAAGGCAAAATCTTGTGTTGTTTTGGAAATCTCTTGTCGCCTTCCTGACTAACAACTCATAAGGAGATGTCCCACTCTGGTTTGTCTAATGCCTGGCAGCTTTTTTTTTTTTAAATATATCAGGTATTCCCCTTCAATCTTAATCTCAACCCCCAACTTCAAATTTATTTTTATTTTATTTATTTTTATTGCACTATGTGCAAGCTGGTGCCAGAAGAAGCCAGAAGAAGGTATCACATTCCCTGAATCTGCAGTTACAGATGATGGTGAGCTGCCATGTGGATGCTGGGAGTCAAACTTAGGAGAAAGTCAAATTCAGGTCCCACACTGGGGTTACTGATAAACACCAATACCATGTCCTCATTTCAATTAGACCCCCAAGGATTGTCTGCATATTGAAGCTTGAGATGCACCACCAAACTCCCTTTTGAATCATAAGACATTATCACATGTGGACTATTGTTATTAGATATGTACACCACAAAATTGCCACAACCCTGCTTTGTAGCTACATTCCAACTCCAATAAGTGCATAGGGCTGAGAAAACTCAACTCCCATTTGAAAAGCAACACCTTCATTCCCAGCACTTGGGAAGTAGGGGCAGATGGATGTCTGTGAGTTGGACGATAGTCTGGTCTACATAGTGAGTTCCAGGATAGCCAGGGATATAGTAGAGAGACTTTGTCTTTAAAGAAAAAAATGGCAGCTGTTTCCAAGATATGTTTCTTTGAAGCATTCTCTTTTTGTTACTTGTTTTTCAAGTTGGTCTCAATTTCCCAAATCAAGAGACTGCTGCACCCAATGGCTGAGTAATGAAAATACCATTGGTGAGCTTTATTACTGAGTGTTTTTTCAATTAGCTCAATACCATTTCCTGGTAAGCTGACAGTGATGGGAGGAAGAATATTCAATAGAGTAACAAAATGTTGAAATGGGGCTAAGGAGATGGCTCTGTCTATTAAGCTTTTGCCATGCAAAGATGAAGACTTACATTTGATCCCTAGAACCAGTGTAAGAAGACAGGCATGACAGCATTCGCTTATAATCCTTGTGCTAGGTAAGGAACCTAAGACAGGAGAATCCTAAAGGTCTGGTCAGCCAACCTAGCCTAGTTGGCAAGTTCCATGCCAATGAGAGTCTTCCACAAAGAAAAAGGCCAAAAGCAGACATATACTCAAGGTTGTCCCAGACACACATGTGTGCATGCATACATACACAAACATGAATATATGCAAACATACATACACACACACAAATGCTTAAGTGCAGACTTCAGATTGACAACATGTTATTGACATAGTAATATACTCTGTGTCTTCCATCTCCTGACTTGGCATCTATCACATTCTCTGGCAGGCTGTGTAGGGGATCTCCAATCAGCTCTGTTTCAACAAAGCCTCCGCAGTAGTCAGTCCAGGAAACCAGTGATTGTCTGGAAGGAGAAGATGTTATTCCAGGAGTGGAGACTAATCAGACCTTTAACAATTCTCCTGTTAGAGAAAAAGATGCTTTGCCAAATTTTTCCAATGATGGTGTTTATTTAAAACTTAATGTGAGCACAAATCATCCAGAAATTATTTTTAAATGCAGTTAAGATTCACTCAGTCCGAGGAAGGGATAAAATTTCTTCTCTCTAAGATGTTCTCAGTTGATGCTGGTAATATTGATTTCCCAGACCACACAGTGAATGACAAGTTTCCATCTTACCAGAACTCGGGTAATCGAGACTATAATATAAAACCCTTAACCTCCTCCAATGTAACTCACTAACCCAGCAAAGCAAAGCTGATTTAATGGTTCTTTAAGAATTTGGAATTTACGATTTGAGAAAAAATAAATCATTAAAAAAAAAGAATTTGGAATTTAAATACTCATATTAAATCTATGAAGGCAGCTGATGGTACAGGCCTGTAATCTTAGCCACTCAAAAAGCAGAAGCCAGAGGATGATAAATGAGGAAGACCAAGGATGTTAAAGGACAATCTAGGCAAACTAGTGAGACCTTTTCACAAAATAAAATGTAAAAAGAGAGACAGGGAAACAACTCCTAGACAGAGCACTTGTTTAGCATGTTGTGATGGTTAGTATATGCTTGGCCCAGGAAGTGGCACTGTTGGGAGGTGTGGCCTTGTGGGTTTAATACCCTTGTCCTAGCTGCCTTGCAGCCAGTATTCTACTAGCAGCCTTCAGACGAAGATGTAGAACTCTCAGCTCCTCCTGTACCATGCCTGCCTGGATGCTGCCATGCTCTTGCCTTGATGATAATGAACTAAACTTCTGAATCTGTAAGCCAGTCCCAATTAAACATTGTCCTTATAAGAGTTGCCTTGGTCATGGTGTCTGTTCACAGCAGTAAAACCCTAACTAAGACACATGTGCATATTGGTTCAAACTCCAGTACTGAAATTTAAAGAAAGAAAGAAAGAAAGAAAGAAAGAAAGAAAGAAAGAAAGACAGAAAGAAAGAAAGAAAGAAAGTCTGCTAACATGGTCTATATTAAACTTGTGGAATAGATTATCTTACTTATACAATCTATGTTCCGTATGTCATAGATGAAAATACAACATGGAAAGGTTAATCTTACTTGCCTATAGATATGCAGCCAGTGAGAGCCAAGGCCAGATGACAACCCAGGCTATATGTGTCCCAGCTGTGTTTCTGGGAATGTGTTTCTAAAATAAAAGGGTAATCAAAATTCTATTCTCATCATCATTCCACACATTGTCTTGGATTTTTTAATATTCTTTTTTCTTAATTTTCACATTTGTGTTGCCCTTAAGGTTGTAAATTCCTTCTTGGCTAGATCTATGGTTTATTTTTTTTTCTTGAAAATAGCACAACTTTAGAATAAAGAGTGAAAAGGAAGGGCGGAGAGGGGAAGGAATGGAGGGAGTATGAAAGGGAAAAAAAAGAAGTAAGCTTATTCTAGGTCAGAAAAAATGTGGGTAGGTTTACTAAACCTTCCTTGTTTTGGACAGCATCTGTTGATGTATATAAAACACCTCATCAACTTGCCAGTATCTAGGAATGACAGTAACCATACAAATAAAAACCAAGTAATGTTCATGCATTTCCCCAAGTCAAGAGTTACATGTATTGGAAGCCTAGCTAGCTAGGGGCAGTCACCCCAGCTAAAGGAGAAATGTCAGCTGCAGGCCATCTCAGCAACCTCACAATTGCTTCCTTGAATTCAGACAGTCCAGGTTCACAGCCCCACAGACTGTTTTCCAAGTTCACAGAATAAAACCTGAACACATTCCATGAGAAAGAGGGTGGGCTCTGTAGTAAAACCTGAGTCATTGAACTCCTGAATGCATGGAGAATGAATGATCCCCAAGATGCCTTTTTTTCACAGCTGGTGGTTCTGAAAGTTTGTCTATGATTTTTAAGGGATAGACAGAAAAATTACCTGATGTCAGCACCGGAAAGAACCCTTTCCTCTCAAGAAAAAAAATCTCGGAAGCACAAAAGACCGGCACTTTAATAGACTGGTTTGTTGCTGGTAAGACTTTGAGGTAGACGGCGCTGTTGCCATCTGCTTCCTGGTGTTCTTGTTATTGTGCCTGATGATGTCATCCTCTCACAACTGATGACACAATGGTGTATTATTTGGGTTGTATTCATCACCCAATGCTGCAGAGAACAGGTGGTTGAGAAAATGCTGGAATTTCCTCTTGCACATGACTCAAACAGGAAAGCACTCTGTCTTTGCGTTCCACTGATGAAGTGCTGAACTCGCCATGGGAGATCCTCAGAAGTCCCTGGCTGAGCAATCCTGAGCCCAGATCAGCCTGGTTGCTTTGCTCCAGGAACCCTGTCACAAGGCAGAATGACAGGTGACAAACACAGAGGAAATGGGGAGGGAGCAGATGACTTTGAGATGAACACCTCATGGGCTTTCCCCACCCATGTCACCCATGTTTGTTGTCCTGGTTCTGCTCATATTTAGGCAATAATGATACAAGCTTACAGGGGGGTAGTTTCTGATGTTACTAGGGGACACAGTCTCACAACATCCCACAGAAAACCCCCTGATCCTTCACACACACACACACACACACACACAGACACACACACACCCGACTTCCATAATGTTCTCTTAGATGCAGGAATTTCTTTTGTAGACATATCCATTGGGAATGGACTCCACAACCCTGCATTCTGATTGACTGCAGTTTTCAGTAATGGCCTCCATCTGTTAAAAGTTTCCTTGAGGAAAGATGAACACTACACTTAACTCTGGGTATAAGAACAAATACTTAGGAAGTAGGGATTATGCTGACTTAGTGTATGGAACACTTCATGAATTCCCATGTCTTCCTTGCGCAGGGAACATGCTAATGGTCTCTAGGTCGTTCCAATTTTCCTATGCATGCTGCTGGAGTGAGCGTGGTAAGGGAGGTTTTTAATACAAAGGATGAGCTAGTGGACATATATGAAGGACACTGGAGGGAGATCTTTGTCAAAGTAAAATGGTCATCTGTTTATCAGTTGGTGCTCTCTGAAATTGGGCTCCTCACACAGGTGCCCCACTCCCTTTTTTTTTTTTTTGATGGTCATATGGAAGTCCTTAGCCCATGAAGAAAGGCATTAGTGGCTTACAAAATTTATATTTTATAAGATATATATCTTAAGGAGAATTTTTTTGAAGTAAATATGCTAAGAAGGGGAGATCAGGAGCCAGGAGTCACAAAGGAAGCCTGCCTAAATTCCAGATACGCTAAAAGGAACTCCAGTACCACTGTAGAGCGCTGTCCCGGCTGCCATATACATACATATATATATATATATATATATATGTGTGTGTGTGTGTGTGTATGTGTGTGTGTGTGTGTGTGTGTGTGATTCAGCTCTTCATTACTGTAACGTTGAAGGGGAAAGGTTTATTTTGACTTATGGTTTCAAATATTTAAATCTTTGATGGTTTAACTCTTTTGGGTCTTTGGCGGCACAGTATGTGAGGGCAGGATCACATGGTACAGGAAGCCAGCTCACCTAATGGTGATCAGAAAAAGACAGGAAGGGCCTGGATCTCAATATCCCCTGAAAGGCATGTGCTATTTAGTGCTAATTATCAACTTGACAGAATCTAGAGTCACCTAGGAATCAGGTCCCTGGATGGTGTGCTGGTGAGGGATTTCCTTTTTTTTTTAATTATCTTAATTGATGTAGACCCATTGTAATAGCAGCTAGGACCATTCCTGGGCAGGTAGATGGTCCTAGACGGTTTTTTAAAAAAGGGGAGAAAGTGAGCTGAGTACCAGCAAGCATACACTCTGTGCTCTCTGTGCTCTCTGTTTCTCTTTGTGGACCTCAGTGACCACCTGCTCTTATCTCCTGCCACCCTAGCTCCCCTGTCGTGATGCTTTGAACTGTGAGCTAAAACCAACCCTTTCTCCCTTAAGGGGCTTTTGTCAGGATATTCTGTCACAAGAAAAGAAGCTAAGACATCACATAAACTCCTCTCAAAGGCTCTGGCCCCTCCCAGCCACACCACATGCTGGAGACCACACCTTTTACACGTGGACTTTGGGGGACGTTTACACTTTAAACAGTAGTGCATTCTGTATTAATGGACCAGGGAAGAGGCACACTCTTCTATGGCAAAAATCTGCTACACCAGGTACCTACCACCTGCCAAAACAAGCTTCTCTCTCCTATTTTCCATAAAGAAAATTATTCGGTTATTTTATTGCGGTTATTTTGTCTGCTCTAATTTTAAAATTATAAAAATTATAACTTGAAAATAATGTTTAAACCAAAGCAGGAAAATCGAGACAAGTGTTTCTTCCCACTTATTTCTTTGCCTCAGCTGAATTCTGGAAGTTTCAAGACTATTCAGGGCAGAGAAAAGGGCTCTGTTGCTCATTGTGTCCCTCAAGAGTCTTCTTAGTTTTTTGGGTTTTGTTTCTGGTTTTTTTGGTTTTTTTTTTAATCAAAGCTTTTTTCAGGAAGGGGAGTTTCTCTTTCTCCAGATTCCACCTCAGGTGTTTCTACATTCCAATTCCCACAAATAATGTGTCTTGTACCTAAGGTGCAGTTAAATTGATGAAAACAGGGCGAACCACACATTAGTGTGCGCATAACTGGTGTATACACCAGTTAGCTATTACTTTGGGGGGGAGGAGGCACCATCCTAATTGTAGGGGAGCTTTGGCAATGGCAGAGTAGAAGAGTACCTTAGTTGTAGCTATGTCAGCAGCTGCTACGAAAGAGCCCAGTACATTTCTGTATGGGAAGATGTAATCACTGTGTTCTTTATAAAGACAAAATTAAAATAAATACTTTTTTTTTCTAGAGACAGACTTCCTCAAGAATCCTGGCCTCTCTCTACTCTATCAAGCCCACTGTAGATACAAGTAAGATCAGAATATGGAAAATTCCCGGCTCCACTGATCCATTTCGGATGCTTCTTGTTGGCAAAACATCAGGAAAAAAAAAAGTTTTGTGACACACGAAGGATGGTCTTAACTCTTGTCAGCCTCTTCGAAAAGAGCAAGCTTGTAATTTCCTAATGCTCAGACACGGCACCCACAGTTGTTCTTCCTGGGAAAACACCAATGTATAAAATTCACTGTAGAGCTGTTGCCCTAAGGTACATCAGTGCTAAACTGACCCAGCAGGGTCATGGGCGGAAGCTCTTAAAGGAGAAGAATGCTTTAAAGATAAGTTTTTTTATGCCTAACCTAAATCTTTCACTTCCTCTCACAAGAGAAAAAGCAGATGTTCAGTGCAGGGTAGGGGATGGAATGGAGGAGGTGCAGGAAGCAAAATAAGTTGTGGTCCAACCTACTCTTTAAAACATTAGCCATGTGCTCACTCTCTCTTCCATGTCAGTGCTTAGAATGCCAGCCCAGAATATCTCCATCCTCACCTGCAGATCAATGCCTCATGCCTCCCACACGCTGCTTTTACTCTGGAGACTCAAAAAATAAAAACAAAATTTTTTTTTTAATTAAAAGCATGGTAAGTAATACATGAGCCATCTTCTCAACAAAGGACTCTGGCTCAATGACGCTGGCTCCAGTAGACATACACAAGGGATAAAAGATTCATTCAAACCCTTTCCTTAAGCCAGACACAAAGTTACCCCAAAATGAATCAGAGCTTTCATCTACGTATAAGAAAAAAAAACTATACATTTTTAGGAGAAAATGATTACTCTCTTTGGTTCAACTATAATTTTCAGTTAAAACACAATTCATAAACAACAACAACAAAAAGATTGGTGAGCTGTACTGCATCAAAATGTTAAAGCTTTAAAAAAGGAAAAAGATAGAAGCCTGGAGAAGTACTTGCCAATCATGCATCTGTTAAGAGAGTTGCATTCAGATTACATTCGGATTACCTCTTACAGCAGAGGTAAGAAAGGCCCGATTTTTATAATATGCAAAGGGTTTTTTTTTAACTCCAAAGGAGCTACATAAATGGCCAGCAAATTCAAGAAAAGATGCTTATCAACTCTTATAACTACAGAAATTCAAACAAAGTGGAAAGGAGACCCACTGAAGCAATACAGCAATCTGTCCCCAAGGACAGATAATGACAAGTTTTAGCAAGGACACAAAGAACCAGGATCCTCACACACTGCTGATGTAAATGTAAAAGAGTAGGCAGCTCTTTTGGAAAAGTAGGCAGGTCTTTTTGTTTGTTTTTTTGTTTTGTCTTGTTTTTCAATGTAATATTTGTATTGATTCTTCAGGAACTTCACATCATGCACCCCAATCACACCACCCACCCCCCAGGCCTTCCAAACCCATCTCCCACACCTATGGCCTCTCCCCCAAAAATAGAAAATTAAAATAGAAAGTATGTCCGATTTCTGTTATCTATATACTCACTGGAGCATGGTCAAACTCTCAGTGGCTGGCCCCTTAAACAAAACTGAGTCCCTCCTCTCTCTCACCCCCACCAGAAGTCTTTAGTTGTGGAGAGCTATACTTCAGCATCCTTATCTCAGAGTTCTCTTAGATGGTTTCCTGTCAGATCTGTTCCTTTTTTTCCAGGGCTGGGGGTTGAGTGGGGATAAGGGTTGTCACCGAAGCCTTCCACGTTCCTCTTTCTCAACTGTGCATCTGCACTCATCGATATCACTGCAAAAGTAGCTTCTCTGCTCTTTCTAATCATCGGGAGCACCGATCATGGGCCTCCACACGGGTTTTGGTGACAGCACACGATTCCAGGCTGCGGTAGGACCGTGGACCCAGACAGGGCCCTCCGAGGCAGCAGGGGTTTGGTGGGGGGAAGGAGGACCATGGAAATCAGAAAGGCCTCAGGTGGCAGCACAGGCCACCCACATCAAAATGGCCCACAGCGGCAGCAAGGCCCAAAGACATTAAATGGCTTCAGGCAGCAGAACAGACCATAGACATCCTCAGGGCCTTTGGTGGTAACACCCGCCACAGATATTAACACAGACCCAGCTGCAGTAAGACCCTGAATCCAGACAAAGCTTTTAGCAGCAGCATGGACCCAAACAGGACCATTGCTTCAGGTGGCAGCACAGGCCATTCAGAACACCATAGCCCCCGTGGAAGTGCCAGACCACTGACATCAACATGGCTTCACACTGAAGCACAAACCACAAACATCCGAATGGCCCTCGGTGGTAACCTGGGCCACAGACATCAATCCAACACGCCTCCCACCGTGGGCGCACTATTAGGACCACCAACCCACTCATGGCCCTCAGTGGAAGCATTGATCATGGCTTCAGCATGGCCTCAGGTGGCTACATAGGCATCAACATGATGGAGCATGACTTCACATCAGTGGCACCGACAGAGTACAGCTTCATCATGGCCTGGGGTAACAGCATGGACCACAGATACCTACATGGCCTCCGGTGGCATTAAGGACCACGGTGATCCTTTTTAGGAAGTCCAATGCCGAAACTGAACCATTCCTCATCTCAGACCTCCATCGTCGCCCAGAGCCAGGGTGATCCTGAGATCTCGGAGGGAAGTCTGTATCTGTTTAAGCTCCAGGAGGTTGCCCCACCAACCCACTGACCCCACTAGGCAATGACATGTGGAACTCGGCCTTCTCCCACGTATGTCATCGCCGATGCACATCCAGTTCCCCTCTCTCCACAGCACACCTACAGCTCCATTGTTCAATCTGTCCCACCTCTCCATCAGTTACTTGTTCATCTTCGTGGTGCCTGCTGTCTATGCCACAAGGTAGGGCAGCCTCACAGGTTTTGTTTTCAATTGAACATAAATTAACAATAAGATTCCACAGTTCTACTTTGTCCTACTGAACAGGAATACGGAGCTGGGGATTCAGCATGGTTAACAAAGTGCTTGCCTAGTATGTTTAAGGACCTGGATTCAATCCCAAGTCTTGACTTAGGTTTGGTCCTCAGTTGGGGTTGGAGGTATGGGAAACA